ACGGGGCTTGAACCAACGTCTTGTCCCTTCTCATTGCCTCTTTCTGTCTCTTTCTCTGTGCCTCTCTCCCCATCCTCCCCTCTCTCCTGCCCCTGTCTCTCTTGTCTTCCCACTTGCTCCCTTGTCTCACCCTGCTTCATCCCTGCCTCTCTGTCTCTGTCCATCTCTGTCTCTCCCCATCCCTGTGTCTCTTGCCAACCCTGGTATGGCCTTCCCTTCCTGAGCCCTTGTCCCTGTGTGTGGGATGTGTGTCCTGCTACGAGGCCTGTGGGCTTTTCCTGCCCTGGCCCATGGCCCATGGCCCATGGGAGCTAGCTGCTGGGGCCCCAGGGCTGTGCCTGGATCTGGCCCTTGGCTGTGGGACCTGGCACGGGAGAAAAGGAGGAGGGGTAGGCAGGGAGTGGGGCCTGGCGGAGTCAACGCCAGACCCTGTGACGCCAGCCTTGCTCCTGGGCCTCGCTCAGCTGGTGTGCTGGCGGCTCCCCGATCGTCCTGTGGCTGCCGTGTCCCGCTGCCCTGGCCCGCGCTGCGTGGATGTTAGAAAACCCTCTGCAGACCCTGGTGGAACCTGGGCTGACCCTGGGCTGACCCTTGGCTGTGACTGTGAGCTGACTGTGGGCTGACCCCGGATGACCTTGGTTTGACCCTGGCAGACTCAGGCTGACCTTTGCTTTAGTCCTGGCTGGCCTTGGGCTCTCTAAGGCCTGACTCTGGTTGACCCTGGCTGGTCCTGCCTGACACTGGCTTCTCTGGGTGATCCCAGCTGACCTTGGGAAGATCCTGGCTAACCGCATGCTGATGGGGGCTAGTGTGGGGTGGGGGGCTACAGGGCCTTCTGCAGGCCTCGGGGAATTCATTCCTAACAAAGGGCTCTCTGGGGCTCCGGCCCCTTGCCCAGGCCCCAGGCCCCAGGCCCATCTGGCCAGCTCTCGGTTTTGGAGCGTGATTCTCAGAACAGCAGCCTGGCTGGGACACCTGTGCTAGGCTGTGTTTGCAATGACTCAGCCTCCCCGTAGGGCTATTTTGGGTGTGTCAGCAGGTGATGAGGCTTGTGAAGAAAGAGAAAAACAAGAGAACAAAACACCAGTGCCTCTCCTCGCCCCTGCCCCCACTCCTGCACTCAAGCCCTCTCCCCCTGGTCGCCCTGTGCCTGGTGACCCTCGTGGACGGGGGTCTGGGGCTGTTTTCTTCCCATGAAGTCAACCTGGCATCTGCAAAGCACTCTGGGTCCTGGAAGGGGTGCAGCAGGGTGAGATGACATCCAGTGCCAGACCAAGAGGGTCTCAGGGCCCCTGGGAGGCTCCCTTCCTCCACGTGAGTCAGACTCAGGACCTCTGGGGTGAGAACAGGACTCAGGCTTGAAGATGAAGCAGTGCAGCCAAAGAGCAAGCGCTCAGACTTCAGATAATGGAGAGAACCAGGAGCTGGCCAAGGGAGGGGCAGGACGGGGTGACCAGGCCCAGGGCCCAGGGGTCAGGACCAGGACCCGGTGATCAGGCCCAGGGCTCAGTGATCAGACCCAGGGCCGAGGGATCAGGACCAGGGCTCAGTGATCAGGCCCAGGGCCCAGGGATCAGGACCAGGACCCAGTGATCAGGCCCAGGGCCCAAGGATCAGGCCCAGGGCTCAGTGATCAGGCCCAGGGCTCAGTGATCAGACCCAGGGCCGAGGGATCAGAACCAGG